AATACCGTTTTTCTATTCTTCTTTTTTTTTTTTTTTTGGTTTTATAGAAATCAAGATAAATCCGCTACCTCGAAAATCTGCATTCCAGAGGCAACCTGGCAGCCAAGAGCAGACCCAGAAGCAGAACAGGGACCACGGGTCAACCCGGAAGGAAAATCAGAGGAGAGGAGGAAGAAGCCAGGGAATCAGACAAATCCCCAACCCAAAAAAAGTGCAGGGAAGGGGACTCCATATCTGATGACAGGACCAGCGGCATGTTACTGGACATTTCACTCCCAGCAAAGACAACAGATGACATCCAGGACAGTTCAATGGACATTGCTTTCCAAGGACATTTCACTCCCAGCAAAGACACCAGATGACATCCAGGACTCACACAGCACACTGGAAAGGCTGGACGAATACATCATCTCGCTGAGATCCCATCGTGACCTGGACTTTGAAATCAGGTTGGCACATGCACGACACATAAACAGTCTTAAAAAGTCTACCACAGCGGACAACACTGCAGGCTTTCCCACCTCCCCAAACCCCTTCGAAGCCCTTCAATCTGAAAACAACTTTTCAGAATTTCTGGCATCTCAGTACGTGGACTAAAGTGAAGAGCGGCTGGAAGCTGACTGGGAAGAAACAACCAACAAGACAACCGTTTGGCCAGCCTCTTACCTGGATGAAGCCAAAGAGGCAACAACTCACAAAGAGGGGGTTACTCGCAATCTTGAAGAACAAGGAACACACCTCACTGAAGAGGGGAAGATGAGAGTGTTTGCCATGGAACTACACAATCGACCAAAAAACCTGAAGAAGGAGAAGAGGAGACAAATAGCAATCCTCGAGAGGCGAACAAGACACCTCGAGGAACAAAACCAAGAACTGGGGAAAATCTCTCCCTCCCTCAACAGATTAGCAGATGAAAACCATCAGAATTGGCAGTGGCAGCCAGGATTGATGCCATCACACTCTCCCCCTCAGTCCCAATCATGGCTTTTAGCTTCAACAAGGAAAAAGGTGAGTGGCAGATCGTGGTAAGACCATCCTTGTCCATTATCACAGCCCATGATCCTATCAAAGTGTCGCCCTTCTTGAGGTTAAAGGTTTCAGACCAGCAGCCCCTGCTCATCTACAAGAACTAGCAGGACAAGAGCTTGAACGTGGCGTGCGAGGATGACAAAGACAAAACCCACTTCAGGGACATGAATCCAATCATGGCTATCTATGACCAGCAAGCAGAACTGAGGGATGATTTGCAATGGAAATCATGGGATCTGATCTGTGAAATCCCGTACCAACTATTGGGTCAAAAGGAAGAGGTGGACAGAATCACATACAGCATGACAGCGTTCATGAGAGAGGAGTGGCTGGGAAAGAACGAGGAGGCCCCTCTGGAAAGGGCGAAAAAGGAAAAGGAGGCAAGGTACAAAAGATTGGCAGACTTCAAAGCCTCCTAGATCCATTTCCAGCCCCAAATCAGAGATAGCTATCTAATCAGATAATGGAAGATCCAGCAGATAGCTTCACTGACAGAGGGGTTGAAGTCAGATCAAAGAGACTCAAACTCACTTCTGACGTGGACGTTGCAAAAGAAATCAAGAAACATCATGAACTATCCATCGTGTCCTCGAATGCCAACGCTTTGGCCTCCATACTAGACAACCCAGTCAAATGGAGGAACCTAACAGAAACCATGGGATGGTTTGGGCAACCCCCCCCAAAGAAACACACCTAACCAACAGTCAGGAACACAGAAAGATACAAATGACGATCCTAAAGAAACTATATATTGTCAAGTTTGTAGTTTGGGCCAACGCAACACCGAACGGCGCAGCAGGTACGGTCATACTATTACATCAGAGATTTCCTGCTATCAACAACATCGAAGTTTTTTCCACATCATAAGACCACACGTCCGGCAGATGGGTCAAAATCGATATCAAACTCAAAGAAGACGTAATATCAGTCATAGGCATTTACGGGCCTAACGCGCCGCAAGAAAAAAAAACACTCCTCCTTACCCTAGAACAACTCCTCCCCATCCACAACCACATCATCATAATGGGAGATTGGAATTCGGTCCAAGACCCCATCCCACTTCACAATCCAATAGCGAGAATCTAAAAGACTTCATCACGAGGAAGAACCTAATTGACCCATACCGTCTCTTATCACCCAACATAAAATGTTTCTCCTGTGCCAGAAAAACTACATTACGAAGAACATCTTTCACAAGAATCGACTTCTTCCTAACCTATGAATCTCTCTCAGGTACCACATTAAGTTGCAACATAATGAGTAACCCCTACCACAAAGGCCTATATCACAAAGTCATCACCCTCTCCCTAAGGCTTATCAAAACAGGATACACTGACAAAAACTTCTATCATTTCAACAACGCTCTATTATCCTCTCATGACTTCCAAACTGAGTTGACCTACATCCTAAGTTCAAAAACGGAAATAAATCCAGATGAAGACATGTTCACCAAATTTCCCCAAATAGTAAGTAACATCAGTCTGAAAGTGTCACAATCCTCTAGAAGATTAGCATCATGAACAAAGGAGCGGGAAGAAACACTACGTAACGCTATTGAAATAGCAGAAATAAATATTCAAAGAAACACAAACTCGCCACTTTGTGCGGAAGTGTTCTCTAAAGCCAAAAAGGAACTCATGGAATGGACCAAGCTAAAACTAAAGGATATGCAACTCAGGGTCAGGATCAAAGATTGGGAATTAAATGAAAAAATGTCAAAATTGTTCTTTCAAAGGATCAAATCCAATGCCAGGAACATGAGGATTGAGTGAGTATTCAATGAACACGGAATCCTATCCTCCGAAACAATGCAACTAGTAAGCATAGCAACCAACTTCTACAAGGACCTCTACACCAGCAAATCCCCATTAGGAGGTTTCAACGTAACCTCAAAAGCAGGTTGAAATTCTTAAACCATCTCGATCGCTCCTTGACAATCGAAGTAGCCAACTCACTAGAAAAACCCGTAACACTAGAAGAGTTTCACGCAACCCTCAAAGACCTAAAACCAAATAAGGCTCCAGGCAGAGACGGCCTATCAAAAACAATTTGGATGGCAAGCTGACACACCCTAGGCCCCCTGCTCCAAAACTTTCTCAATAGGGTCCGGGAAGAAGAATCATTAGAACCCACCCTTAGTACGGGAGTTATGACCCTCTACAAAAAGGGAAGCAAGGAGGACATCATAAATTATAGGCCGATATCCCTCCTAAATGTCTCCTACAAAATCCTAGTCAAACTCCTATCTTCTTAACCCGAAAAAAACGTACATACGGTATATTCGAATTAACTTTAGAAATCGGGTTTTCATAAATCGCTTGTTTTCCCCCGAATAAAACGTAGGTTCGAATATAACGTACGTACGTTGTATTCGAATACAACGTACGTGTGTTGTATGCGAATGTTTGGTATTTTGATTAAAAAAAATAAAATAAAATAAAAAAATAAAATGGTATACAACAATGCAATACAAACAGCGTTTGCTTAAGGGTCTTATCGAAATTCACAAGAAAATTCGAGAAAAAAATAAAAACGAGGATGAAAATATCTTTTACTGATTTTTTTCAGAATTTCGATTAAAAAAAAAAACTTCAGTAAAAACTCTGGAAAAAACGTATGTTGTACAACATTGCAATGAAAACAACTTTTGTCTAAGGGTCTTGGCAAAATTCCCAACCAAATTTGAGATAAAAATAAAAACAATGGTGGTACTATCGGCTTCTGAAAAGTTGTACCCTAAAACTCGTTCTATAACGTACGTACATTGTATTCAAATACAACGTACCCCGTACGTTGTATTCATATACAAGGTACGTACGTTTTTTTCGGGTTAAGAAGGCAGCCTCCAGAATCAACAAATCACAGGAGACTGCTTCCACCTCGATCAAATAAGTTTCATCCCTGACAGACTAATTCTAGACAATGTAGTGACTCTCACCGAAACAACTAGAATCAAAAGAAAGTCACGGCAGCGATCCTCTTCTCCGATTTCGAGAAAGCCTAGGATCAAGTAAATTGGGAATTCGTTCAATGTTGCATGGAAAAAATGGGAGTGAGACCAACCTTCAGGAAATGAGTAAGAATATTTTACAACGATGCCCAGGGCATAGTCCAAATCAGCGGCTTCCTGTGTAACCCCTACAGTATGTCAAGATCGGTCAGACAAGGAGACTCATTGGAAGCACCCATTTTTCTATTTCTAATGGAAGCCATCGCAGCCTTCCTGAGAAAAGACCCCTCCATAGAGAGATTAGTGAACGTGAAGGACGAAAGAGGAAAACCGCTTCACTTACCTACCACCCTCCTTTTCGCAGACGACCTTACGGTCCTTATTAGAGCATCCAATTCATCATTTCAAGCCCTAACAAAAGTTATGCAAGCATTCCAACCGGCCTCCGAAATGAAAGTAAACTGGAAAAAAACAATAGGCTGGTGGCTAGCTGACTCCCCACCACTCATTGAACTCACACCCGAGGGAATGCTCTAGGCGGATCCATCTGCTCCCTTTCGTTTTCTAGGTATTAATCTCAACACGAAAGGTTGTTATAATGCATCAGCATCATCCCTATCATCTTCCATGATCAACAGAATGCACACATGGAAAGGAATCCACACATCACTACTAGGAAAAGTTATAGCATTGAACAACTCAATTTTAGCCATGGGGCTTCGCCGCACGAGACACGAAATGAGAAACGAAATGAATGTATCTTCCTTCAGAAAATCGTCAGGTTTATCGGTTTGCTATAAATAGTAACGAGTGTATTTTCCCACCTTCCTTGGGCAGATGCACTTGTTTCGTTTCCGTTTCGTGTGTCGTGTGGCCTTGGTCTAACACCTCTATTTGGTTCCCATTTGACAATTTCCAAAGCGGAACTAAGAAAAAAACAACAGTTTTTCTATGGACAGGCAACCCAGACAACGACCGCTTCATCCACAAGGTAGCCTGGCAAACGATCACCGAACCCAAATCCAAGGGTGGCCTTGGTCTCATAGACCCATCTCGACGAATTCAGGCCCTCCAAATCAAATGGATCCCTAGAATTTCCCTCCAAGACAACCTCCAGTGGTCTTACATGCTGCACGTGCACATGCGGGCCATTTTGCAGGCCCAACGTCCTTCAGGCCAAAAGCCTGAATTTCAGGCCGAAAGCCTGAAATCGAGGGCTTACAGGCCCCATGTCGGATCAGGCCGAAAGCCTGAATTCCAGGGCCACAGCCCCTATGTCGTTTCATACTAAAAACGACATCAGCCTTTTTAGCCTGAAACAAAGGGTCATTTTCGGCCGTTCATCAGAACGACCGGCCCTGAAACTCAGGCACCGAACCAGGGTTTCGGAATAGGCTATTATCAGCCTGTTCCCCACGCCAGCCTCAGCAGGCTGCTGCACGCCAGCCCTTGGCACACTTCGGCATTGGCAAGAGCTGCTTCCTCGGCCTGGCTCGCCCTTCAGCAGTCAGGAGGCAGGCCGAGGTAGTACATAGGACTTCCCAAGCACTTCCCAGAGAGGCAATCGGAGTTGTAGTCTTCAGGATTCAGGAGCAGCACTCTGGAGGAAGCGCTGCAGAGTAGTAGTAGCGTTAGCTTGTAGTCTTCAGCGCTGGGCGCAGTAGGTAGTTAAAATCTCCAACTCTGGGCGCCATAGCTAGATAGTACTAGAGAGAGAGAAGGATTGGGCGGAGGCCAGAGGCACTTACCTGCAGCGCCGTTGCTCCAGCTTCGTCTTCGAGGTACCGGCAACACAGCGCCAATACCACAGGTCAGTATCTGGCTCGTAACAGTGAGAGAGAGTTCTTCTTCTTCCTCTTCTCAGTCCACTATCTCCTTCTCCCCCTCTCAACATCTGACTTCACTGCATTTGCAGACTACGAGAGAAGAGAGACAGAGCTTGGTGACATTGGATCCAGACTCGACTTTTGGGACTTCAGACATGGCAACGAGGGATTATTTGGGATTGGTGACAANGAGAGAAGAGAGACAGAGCTTGGTGACATTGGATCCAGACTCGACTTTTGGGACTTCAGACATGGCAACGAGGGATTATTTGGGATTGGTGACAAGGACTTGGTGTTGACGACATTCCCATCTCTCTCCCTCCTTTCGTCTGATCCCTTCCTCTTCGTCTGTGTATGTCTGGACCTGGCGCTTTCTTCCTGTGTACAGCGCCAGGCTCCTTCACACCTGGTGATGGATACGATGTATGTTTGGTCTGAGTTTAAACATTGATTGGACTAGTTATCAGCATTCTAGCATTCTGCTTCGCTACTTTGTACTACGTGGATGAGGTCAGTCCCGGTCAGGTTAGTCTTTGTATCTAAGTTTTCCCTGCGCTATTCAGCACCATTATGCATGTATGAGAACGCACATTGCTTGTCGAGATTCTATTCGCACCACATTGTCCATTGAGTCATTTTCATCACATTGCAGATCCTTGATTATTACGTACATTGCATATCTGTGCATGTAACAGTTGGTATCGGAGCTTTGCACGCGAATCAGGACAACCTGATCTGACACGTGTGCGGGGACTAATTAGCTGGTTAGTCTTTATTGATTGATTATAACACAATAGTTAGACCCCAAAATCACGATTTTGACCTCACTACCGAAAATCGATTTTTTTTTTCTTTTCTTGGATTTTATTTTCTGGCTGTTCTGTTGTGGAAAACTGCAATATCGCAACATCTGAAATTCCCATTTTCGTTTTTGTTCTGAAAATTCGAAATTTCGCTGTTGAAAATCCGGAATATTTTTCTTTTTGAAAATTTCGATTTCCTGTTGTATTTCCCGTTACTTAGAAATTCAGAATATTTTCCTTTTTGGAATTCGTTTTTCTGAAAACGGTACGGGAAATCCCTCCTGCGGTATTATTCTTCAAACTGCGAATATTTTCATCAGAATAAATCCGAATACTTGTTATTTCTGTTTGGATTTTTTTCGCAGTTCTGGGATTCTGTCGTTCTGTTCAACAAATCATTGGCACTTCAAGGGAGGTTGGGAGACCTACCGAACTTGCAAAAATCGGGATTTTTATTTTTCTCGAATTTTTTTTGCAAAGTTCATTAGTGGCTCCTTATCTAAGTGATTAGTTGGGCGATTATCCCACCCACCCCTCCGCACCTATGTTGTTGCCATCCCTCACCTTACCTTCTCTACTTGACTCCGGGTACCCCCTGCGACGGCATTGGTGAAATGCCACGTCAGCAGGCCCCCGGCCTAGTACATGATGTTGCGGTCACAGACAACAGTCATGGATCAGAGGCCCGGTGAAGCAGACGAGGCCTATCAGGCCCGGATGCTGGCTTGGAGTACCGAGACAAAGAAACGGGTAGATGACGCAGCTGCAGCAGCGGAAAAGAAGGCAGAAGATGCTGAGCAGGCACGTCTGCTGGCGATTGAACAACAGAACCAGCATGACGAGGCAGCAGCAAGGGCTGCCGATGAAGAGAGACACCAACATCGTGAGAAGATCTTTACCGGAGAGCAGGCGTTACTTACAATGGCAGCGGAATGGCGGACCGAGGCTGAGAATAGCCAGTTGGAGGATAGCGCAAACAAGATAGCGCTCCTCTCGCATCTCACAGACCTCCTGGCAACCTGCATTACACTGCAGGAGGAGATCCACGGTCTTGACAACTCGCTAGCTCACGTCCAAGACCGACTTCAGCGGTTGGAGCAGCGACCAGTCAACGTCGCCGACAACCGCCTCAACACATTGGAGATGGACGTCGGCTCACTCAAGGATGGCGTGCAATTACAGCAGACCGCGACGCAACAGTTGCAACAGCGGATCTGCACTACCGCCAACATCTCGAGTTCGGAACCGCGCGAGACAGCTCCAAAGTTCGATGGGCAGGAAATCTTCTGCGACTCAATGAAGATAGATCCGGTTCCATGGTTTTCACAAGTTCAAGCTCACGCTGCAGCTCCACAACGTTAAGGAACACAAACACCGCGCATACTTGTACTCTCGCTCAGTGGGCGCGTGCTAGGCTTGGTTGGACAACCTGTTGTCCAAGTACGGAGTGGTAGCCAACGACTTGCACACGAAGATCAATTGGGATGATTTGAAGGCGGCGTGGCACAAGCGGTTCAAGGTGGAGCCGTCGGAGATCAAAACCATGGACAAGCTCATGGTCTTCGAGCAAGGCACGCTGCCGAGTACGGACTGGATTGCCGAGTACCAACGCTTGACATCAGTCCCAGACATCCAGATGGGCTTCAAGGCCATCCGCCACTACTTCATCTCAAGGTCATGTCCGACATTAAGCAATGCCCTCACGCATGTTGAGGACACCTTGACGACGACGGCGGAATTGTTTGACAAGGCCGCGCAGATCATCATCACGAACAAGGAGGCCAAGAACTTCCGTTCATCTGCGTTAGGCCCGAGCAAGGACCAGCATCGGCCAAGAGTGGCCGTGGTCGCAGCGGCAACGCCTTTTGACCAATGCAGCCAGGTTGTGTCTGCCAGTGAAGGGGACAGACTCGCAGCCGCCCCGGCAGAGGCCGAGGACGCGGCAAGACGAAGATACACACCGCATCTAGCCCCAGGCCCGGTGCAGCAGCTCAGGCAGGCCCATGGTCCCAATATGGCATCTCCGAGGAAGCATTCAAAGCACACGAGAGATTCCATTATTGCCTTTGGTGCAACAACGATCTTCATCAGACGCAGGTCTGCCCATTGAAAGGCAAGGGCAAACAGGGAAACTGAGCACCGCCGAGATGACACTCTCGACGCCTTCGGAACTGGTTTCTTCGCGAGTAACCGGCCTTCATTCCGAGGCGCACGCGGAAGTCGATAGTCCTCCTCTTCTACTTTCTTTTGAGGACTATGCTGCCCGGCTCGTTCCTACGCTGGGTACTCGAGCTCAAGGACAAGGAGTGTGTGTGGTTTCTTCTTCGTCCGGCAACGGCGACATATCGTCTTCAAGTCGTTCATCACGGGATTCGACGTGCGAGTTCAACATAGAGGTATTGGACCCGCTCACGTCCGAGGACTTTGCATGGCTTCCTCTCCCGACCACAGGCCACTTGCCGGGACCGCAATGCGCAGCACTGAGCGCACATCTCCACACTTACTTATCCTTCTATGCACCACCAACTTCGTCGAGGAATGACGAAGTTGCGGTGAGGGACATCCTGGCATATACTACCAAGGTGGCCCACGAGTTTCGCATGCAGCGGTACGATGACAACAACACACCGCTCATGTACGTCCGCATTCAGGTTGGGCAAGCGTCCTGCAACGCTTTGCTGGATAGCGGCGCGTCTCGCAATTTCATGAGTCAATCCTTTATGCAAAGGGCTGGCCTTGGCACACAAGTTCGGAGGAAGGCAAACCCGACGACGATCAAGTTGGCGGATGGAAAGACGCAACAACTTCTCGACCGTTACATGAAGGCCGTACCGGTCTACTTCGCACCTCATGCGTGCGAACCGGTGACATTCAATATTCTCGACACAAACTTCGACACCATTCTGGGAATGCCTTGGCTTGCAAGTGCGGATCACACGGTCAACTTCCATCGACGGACTCTTAGCGTTCGTGACGCCTTTGGCGTGGAAGTGGCGTGTACTATTCCTCTACCGCACACTTCGATCCGGTGCCAAGTGGTGACGGCCAAATCATTCCGGGCAACTTGCGCTTACGAGCAGCTCGAGGAGATCGGCCTATGTTTCCTACGAACCGTCGCGGTAGCCGACTCTTCACCCACGGACTTGTCTTCGGACCCCCGTGTGGTGCGGTTGCTGGATGAGTTCGTCGATATCTTCGAGTCACCTATCGGTGTGATGCCGGATCGGTCGATCTCTCACGAGATCATTCTTGAGGCCGATGTCGTGCCGCCGACAGGTTGCATCTATCAGATGAGCGAGGAGGAGCTTGAGGTCCTCCGCGCACAACTCGACGATTTATTGGCCAAGGGCTGGATCCGCCCTAGTAGCTCCCCATATGGAGCACCAGTTCTCTTCGTCARGAAGAAGAACAAGGATCTACGACTGTGTATCGACTATCGCAAGCTCAACGCGCAAACCGTCAAGAATGCGGGGCCTCTTCCCCGCATCGACGATCTTCTTGAGCGACTGGGCGGCGCAAAATATTTTTCTAAATTGGATTTGAAATCGGGATATCATCAAATCTCGATCCAGCCGAACGATCGCCACAAAACCGCGTTCAAGACGCGGTACGGGCATTTTAAGTGGGTGGTCATGCCTTTTGGCCTCACCAACGCCCCGGCGACGTTCCAGGCGGCAATGACCAATGAATTCCGTGCAATGTTGGACCGGTTCGTGCTGGTCTACTTAGACGATATTCTCGTCTATAGCCGGTCATTGGAGGATCATCTTGGGCATCTTCGACGAGTGTTGGAGACGCTCCGTCGCGCCAAGTACAAGGCCAACCGCGACAAGTGTGAATTTGTCTGGCAGGAGCTGGAATACTTGGGCCATTTTGTCACACCGGTGGGCATCAGTCAGCTATCGGACAATATTCAGGCCGTCCAGGAGTGGCCGGAGCCTCGGAACGTCAAGGATGTCCGCTCGTTCCTCGGTCTTACTGACTACTATCAGCGCTTCATCAGAGGCTACTCCAAGATCGCGACCCACTTGAACAAGCTTCAATGCGAGGATCGGTCGTTTGACTTCGGAGAGGAGGCGGGGGGATCATTCTTCGCTCTCAAAGTCGCGCTATTGTCTGTGGAGGTCTTGCGGATAAACGACCAGCTCTCGCCTACGCGCGTCACTACGGATGCGTCAGGCTATGGCATTGGTGCAGTCCTCGAGCAACATGATGGTGTGGACTGGCACCCGGTCGAATACTTCAGCAAGAAAGTGCCCATCGTGCATTCCATCGACGATGCACGCAAGAAGGAGCTCCTTGCCTTCGTCCACGCGCTCAAGAGGTAGCGGCACTTCCTCCTTGGTCGAAGCCAATTTCGCTGGGTAACGGACAACAATCCGTTGGTCTTCTACAAGACCCAAGACACCGTCAACAGCACCATCGCTCGATGGATGGCTTTCATCGACCAGTTCGACTTCTTTCCCGATCACATTCCTGGAAAGTCGAACCATTTTGCGGATGCTCTTTCACGGCGTCCGGATCATTGTACCGCGATCTACTCAACCTTCGAGATCGATGACGACCTGCGGAACAACTTCATCCGCGGCTACCAAGCTGACCCCGAGTTTCACGACAAGTACGCGAATTGCTCCTCTCCTAATCCGGCTCCTTCTCACTACCGGATCCAAGAGGGGTACTTGCTTGTCCACATGCGGGGGAAGGACCTTCTTTTTACCGAGTGATCCTCACTTGTGTACACGGCTTTTTGGCGAGTTCCACGATGCTCCCGCCACCGGACACTTTGGAGTCAATCGCACGATTGGCCGACTTCGCCAGCGATTTTGGTGGCCCGGCCTTCTCGGCGACGTCACGCGCTATTGCGAGTCATGCGAGGTTTGCCGACGCTGCAAATCCCGCAACCATCGTCCGTACGGCGAGTTGCGACCATTGCCAGTCTCGTTGAGGCAAAGGGAAGCGATCGCCATGGACATTACCGGCCCGTTCCCCAAACACAAGACCGGAGTGGATGGGATTCTCACGGTGGTCGACCAACTCAACAAGTTCGCTATGTTTTTTACTTGTCGCTATCGCCCCATCATGCCAAGGCACCGGAGTTGGCCAAGGTTCTTTACGCCAGTTGGATTCGAACCAAGGGTTACCCCAAGAAGATTGTCTGCGACCGCGACACTCGGTTCATGTCCGATTCTCACTTGCGTACACGGCTTCTAAGCGAGTTCCACAATGCTCCCGCCACCGGACACTTTGGAGTCAATTGCACGATTGGCCGACTTCGCGAGCGATTTTGGTGGCCCGGCCTTCTCGGCGACGTCACGAGCTATTGCGAGTCATGCGAGGTTTGCCGGCGCTGCAAATCCCGCAACCATCGTCCGTACGGCGAGTTACGACCATTACCGGTCCCTTTGAGCCGAAGGAAAGCGATTGCCATGGACATTACCGGGCCGTTCCCCAAGCACAAGACCGGAGTGGATGGGATTCTCACGGTGGTCGACCGACTCCCCAAGTTCGCCATGTTTTTGCCTTGTCGCTATTATGCCAAGGCACCGGAGTTGGCCGAGGTTCTTTACGCCGGTTGGATTCGAACCAAGGGTTACCCCAAGGAGATCGTCTGTGACCGCGACACTCAGTTCATGTCCGATTTTTGGTTGGCGCTCATCAAGCGATGGGGCTCATCTCTCAAGCCCAGTTCAGCTCGCCACCCTCAGACCGATGGCCAGACGGAGAGGGCGCATCAGACCGCACAGGTTCTCCTTTGCACTCTCATCCGCCCCGACCAGAAAGATTGGGTTGAGCGACTGCCGGACGTCAAGTTGGCCTACAACTCTTCCATCCACCCGACTATTGGGATATCGCCCTTCGAGTTCGAGCACAGCTTGCCGGTCACGTCACCGTTGGACACTATTACTCCACGCACGGTCGAGAGCGACGACCATCTTCTTTTCTTGCGTCGGATGCAAGAGCTTTTTGTCAAGGCACGCGACCAGATGGCTAAGACGCAGCAGCGCATGAGCCAGCAGGCCAATCGCCAGCGTCTTCCTTGTCCATTCAGCGCCGGGGACCTCGTCTGGGTTTCCGTAGCGGAATTCAGCCTTGAACAAGACATCTCTCGCAAACTCCTTCCGAAATGGATGGGGCCTTGACCGATCGTAGCACACGCTGGGGACGCACCCGAAGGACCATCCTTCACGATTCAGCTGCCTGGCCACTTGCCCATCTACCCTATCTTTCATTGCTCTAAATTGGCTCTCTACACACCAGCGGAACATGACGATTTTTCCGGGAGACGTACGCAAGACCCGCCTTCTATGGGCAGTTTTTAGGAGGTAGGCGACATCATCTCCCAGCGACGCTACGACAATAAGCCAACTGAGTATTTGGTGCATTTTGCATACTGCACACACCGAGCTGACTGTTGGTTAACCCGTGCGGAACTTCAGGCAACAGCTCCAGACGTTCTCGCACACTACGAACGCAAGATGCAAGGCAAGCCGGTTTTTTCGGCTCCACACCACGCCCGTGTCCAGGTTCCACCTTCAGATCGTCGGCTTCGCCCTCGCCCCGGCTTGACTTCATAAGGAGGGGGGGGTGTTACATGCTGCGCGTGCACACGCGGGCCATTTTACAGGCCCGACGTCCTTCAGGCCAAAAGCCTGAATTTCAGGCCGAAAGCCTGAAATCGAGGGCTTACAGGCCCCATGTCGGATCAGGCCGAAAGTCTGAATTCCAGGGCCACAACCCCTATGTTGTTTCATACTAAAAACGGCATCAGCCTTTTTAGCCTGAAACAAAGGGCCATTTTCGGTCGTTCATCAGAACGACCGGCCCTGAAACTCAGGCACCCAACCAGGGTTTCGGAACAGGTTATTATTAGCCTGTTCCCCAGGCCAGCCTCAACAGGCTGCTGCACGCCAGCCCCTGGCACACTTCAGCATTGGCAAGAGCTGCCTCCTCGGCCTGGCTCGCCCTTCAGCAGTCAGGAGGCAGACCGAGGTAGTACATAGGACTTCCTAAGCACTTCCCAGGGAGGCAATCGGAGTTGTAGTCTTCAGGATTCAGGAGCAGCACTCTGGAGGGAGCGCTGCAGAGTAGTAGTAGCGTTAGCTTGTAGTCTTCAGCGTTGGGCGCAGTAGGTAGCTGTAGTCTCCAGCGCTGGGCGCCATAGCTAGATAGTACTAGAGAGAGAGAGGGATTGGGCGGAGGCCAGAGGCACTTACCTGCAGCGCCGTTGCTCCAGCTTCGTCTTCGAGGTACCTGCAGCACAGCGCTAATACCACAGGTCAGTATCTGGCTCGTAACAGTGAGAGAGAGTTCTTCTTCTTCCTCTTCTCAGTCCACCATCTCCTTCTCCCCCTCTCAACATCTGACTTCACTGCATTTGCAGACTACGAGAGACGAGAGACAGAGCTTGGTGACATTGGATCCAGACTCGACTTTTGGGACTTCAGACATGGCAACGAGGGATTATTTGGGATTGGTGACAAAGACTTGNGAGAGACAGAGCTTGGTGACATTGGATCCAGACTCGACTTTTGGGACTTCAGACATGGCAACGAGGGATTATTTGGGATTGGTGACAAAGACTTGGTGTTGACGACATTCCCATCTCTCTCCCTCCTTTTTCGTCTGATCCCTTCCTCTTTGTCTGTGTCTGTCTGGACCTGGCGCTTTCTTCCTGTGTACAACACCAGGCTCCTTCACACCTGGTGATGGATACGATGTATGTTTGGTATGAGTTCAAACATTGATTGGACTAGTTATCAGCATTCTAGCATTCTGCTTCGCTACTTTGTACTACGTGGATGAGGTGAGTCTTGGTCAGGTCAGTCTTTGTATCTAAGTCTTCCTTGCGCTATTCAGCACCATTATGTATGTATGAGAATGCACATTGCTTGTCGAGATTCTATTCGCACCGCATTGTCCATTCAGTCATTTCCATCATACTGTAGATCCTCGGTGATTACGTACATTGCATATCTGTGCATGTAACAAGTGGACACCCTTAGCCCTGAACCACATCAGGGAAATAGCCGCTTTTGAATCTCCCAAGAACATGAGAGGTCTCTTTTGGATCTTCAACAAACATTGGGCACTCCCCATAGACAAAAGAAAGCACACCCCCAATTCAATACAGGAAGATATCCACGATCCAGAACCTTCAAAATCCCACTGGGTCCATATCCTTTTTTTATTTATTTATTTATTTTTATTTTGAAAACAAATACTCCAGTCTATTCGTGGGGAGCAGCACGTGCTGGGAACCGGGCCTAGTGTCCCGTATCGAGTTATACAGATCATTGAGAACATTTGAGATCATTTGAGATACCGGGGCCATTACCTGGCTTCGACTGAGAACAGTCTGTGAACACGATATGATTCAGAAAGCGTGGGGAGGATCATGATCCTACGCCGCTGGAGAAACATATTTCCAGAAAATAGATCGGGCCCCAAAAAGAGAGACGAAGTCTTAAGACAACTCCTTTCTTACAACACCTGGATCAAAAAGGAGAAAGGAACAAGCTTCTCTCTCTCCAAATCAGAGGCCAAATAGGGACATTGGGTAGAAAGAGGAGTATGGCAGATCCAACATATCTGGACGAGACAGCAAATGAATGGAAATCTGAGAAGGAACTCAGGCCAACCCTTAAGGGTCTACATCACGTGCAAACGAACATTAATCAGATCATAGAAAGCATCCCCATGCAATGGAGACGCCTACTATGATCTGAACACAGATGGAAATACGGAGACTGGGCCTCAATAAATGACTCGGGTAAAGTACAGGAAGTTCTCCGATTCAAAACTATGAAAACCAGAATAACCACTGAATTTGTTGCGACATTTTTCCTCTCAAGGAACCAGGGAACCCAGGAAGTTTCCTCAACACCGAATGCAGAGAAGAAGGTACCTTCAAAACAAGCACCCCGCGAAGAGTAAGAATTATTGAAGGGGAAAGAAACAGGGTTTTCAAACCACAGTCAAGTATACAACAACTCAAAATAAATCCGACAGAATGGACCTGGAGCACCCCCATCCGCGGAGCCACTATACCACAACTCCACAAAATAACTGACTACACCCCCAGACTAGGCTACAATCTATTTTCCGAATCCATCTCAATAACCAATATCCTGCAAAAAAGATGGGCAAAAGAAGAACCCACTATAACAGACCCACAAATAACCATACCCTGGTCATCTATCTTCTGCACTAAACCAGTCAAACTAGCCAGTCTACTTTGGTTAATTGCATACAGGGCAGTACCAGTCAACCATTGATTGGCACAAAGGCGCAATAAGACAAACCAAATAGACCAAGACTCTTGGTGCAAAGTCAGCAACAAACAGAGACCGGAAACACTTAA